GATTCCAGGGTCCTGGGATTGAGCCCCATGTCGGGCTCCAAGCTTAGCAAGGAGGCTGCTTCTCCCTCTCCCTCTACCTCTCCTTCCCCTCCTCCTTTTAAATAAATAAAATCTTTAAAAAATTAATCTGATGGGGAGGGGATGCTCATTGTGAGGACTAAAATATGATGACATGATGACATGGCAAATACTTCTAAAATAGGAACTGGTACATAGTAATCAACACATATTAGCTATTATTATCATGACTAACACCACCTACTAAGACACCTTCAGGAGCTATGCCAATCTCCTTCTGAATCTATCATGTTTTTAACAACCCTAATCAAAAAGTTTCGCCTTTTTATCTGAACAGTCTTCAAGCTCTAAACCATTTCCTCTTTTTTTCAGCTTTTTGTGAACATGGAAGATGATAGATAACTGGCTTCTTTATCTTTTAAGACTCAGGACTCTTTTTAGTTTTTTAATAATAAAATTCTCTTCCAAATATTATACACAAGACAGACTGCTCCACAGATTATAAACACTACAAAGATTTCACAAAGTATGATGAAATATTGAGATTCATAAAAGAACAGCCACTGAAGCAAAAACCTTAGATAAAGAAATGATGCAGAAGTCTATCAGCCTGCTCAAAAAATACTGAATTCTAAATAAAGCACAGCATGTAGGGATCCTCCACGGTTTACAGTCACTCGAATTATTAAAAACATATAGTGGATACTTTGGGTATTTTTTTTTCCTTAATAGCAGGAAAATCCTGTTTCTTCAAAAACAATGAATAGATGGCACGATAGGCATGGGCAATTTCTTCAAAAACAAATTCTATAGAAAAGAAAGGTCTAAAAAAAAAAAAAAGAAAAGAAAAGAAAGGCCTAAAGGCTCAGACTTTCAGCCATACACGCCCCCTACTTAAAGCTTTAAATATCTGAGGCATCTAGTATTTTTTTGTAGTCTTTAACATTAAAGCAAAACAAGCTTCATTTGCATCAGAAAACATTATGCTTGAAAGAAAATTAAGCATTTAAAATTTTGATACTTACAAATTTAAAGGTATTTTAAAGGGTCAACTTAAAGGTCAAGTAGATATTAGAGTTCATAATACACCAAAATATTTTTTTAATAATCTAAAGACAAAAATCTATTTTTTTTGAGAGAGAGAGAGAGAGAGAGAGAGAGAGCGCTCACCTGTGTGTGCACATAGAGCAAGCAAGGTGGGGAGGGGCAGAGGAAGAGGGGGAGAGAGAATCCAAGCAGGCTCCACACCCCGAAGAGCCCAATGTGGGGCTCAATCCAACAACCCTGAGATCACGACCTGAGCAAAATCAAGAGTCAGATGTTCAACCGACTGAGCCACCTAGGTGCCCCTGACAAAGATCTTTTTTAAACAATTTAATGTAAAGTTCTCCTATGTGTTAGATATTGAGATAGGCACTTCCACATACATTATGTAGCTTCATTCTCCCAACAACCATATGGGATGATTATCCTCCTTTTACAAATGAGGAAACTAAGGCCCAGCAATTTGCCTAAAGGCACTTGCTTGTATGAGATTTAATCAGAAACCATATTCAAACTTTCTGACCCCCCAGTTTGATGTTCTTGATTGCACTATACCACGCCACTTCCACAACTCAAATACTTCACAACTAGTTCTTATTCAGGGTACCAATCTTTTCAGCTGGCAGAGGCAAGAGTTGTAAGGGGAGAAGAGAAATTATTCATAATGTCACCAAAAAAACCTCACTGTGCTTATTAATCCCACATGATTACCCCGTCCAATGTAAATGCTTTCGTTCATGCTCTCTATCCCCTTAAAGCACCACTCATCTTCAGATATACAGCTTTCAGCAAAACCTGACTCAAGAATTACTTCCCCTAGGGGCCCCTGGGTGGCTCAGGTCATGATCCCAAAGTCCTGAGATCAAGCTCCCCATTGGGCTCCCTGCTCCGCAAAGAGTTGGGTTCTTCCTCCTCACCACCCCCATCCCTGCTCGCGCACAATTGCTCGCACACTCTCTCTCTCCCTCCCTCAAATAAATAAAATCTTAAAAAAAAACAATTACTTCCCCTAAAAAATTTTCCCAATTAGGAACTGCTCCCTCCCTACCAATCCAACATCCTTCCTTATCTCACACCTTGTATCTATTCTGGACTACATTATCACACACTCTTCTGTCCTCCTGTCATATACCTGGAACTACATTTTTTCATTCAGTAACTATTAAAAGTTTGATGGGTCAGTGGTGAACAACAACAAAAAAAGATCATTGCTATCATAGAAGATTTAACATGATTTGCATCTCTTAAAAAGGTAAAAATAACATGAAGGTATAAGAGTATGATGTTCTACGATAAAGGATTCCTTCCCAACAAGGTCTCTGAAGAAAGCCTTCTCCTTTGCATACCTGGTAACATTTTTCAGGGAGGAAAAATTCCTTCTATCATGTCTCCCATGTGAGACCTTTAACTTCATGAAGTGAGAGACCAAAGTAGGACAGACAGATCTGGGGCGCCCAAGTGGCTCAGTTGGTTGAGTATCTGCCTTGGGCTCAGGTCATGATCCCAAGGTCCTGGGACTGAGCCCCACATTGAGGCATTAGGCTCTCTGCTTGGCAGGGAGTCTGTTTCTCCTTTTCCCTCTGCCTGCTGCTCCCCCTGCTAATACTCTGTCAAATAAATAAAATCTTAAAAAGAAAGAAAAGGACCAATCTAAAGTCTTTCAATTTCACATACTAATGTGAAATCTACATCTACACCCTAGTCCAAATATCCCTTCCTGAGTCCCATCCACAAGAAAATACTTTAGACACGATTGGTCCAGTTAAGCATATCCATCAACCTGTCCAGCCACGTCCATTAACACGTATTCAGAGACTTCAAATTGTATTTATGGATTACACGTATGCCATATTCATAAGAATAAGAATAAGCCTTCTACTTTTGAATCCCCTGCTGTTCCAAGATCATTGCCATAAATGTGTTCATCTTTATATATTATATCCAAATATAACACTTCAGGTATTGCTATTAGGGAAAGAATTTTCCACAAAATCAGAAAACTACATCTAAGTATCAATCCCTTATTTTGTCACTCATGCTCCAAGTAATCTGCTCTTGAAGGATTATTTATAAGTCAAAACACGCTTAAATGTACTTAGAGCAGCGGCTAAAGAAATTCTGCAATTTGTCTTTTAACAAGATAGATCCTTTTGTAATGCAGATTTGGTGAAATCGTCATCCGTCATCGTATGTTTTTTTTTCTTAAATCAAAACTAAAACATAAAAAAGTAAAAAATAAATAAAAAAACTAAAACATAACTTCATCACACAGAATTGTGTATTTATCCCCACAGTATAGGGGCTTTCAGTTTAAAAATGAACAAAGAAACGAGATCTTGCCAAATTCCCCAGTGCCATACATGTGCTGCTGTAAGAAACATATTTGACTGCCTCTAACATGTAAGGATACTCTAACTGAAAAGAGACAGCAGCGCGCTTTCCAGATCGGATACTTTATTAATATGCAACAAGAGAGAAATAAACCATGACCATTTTTAATTAAACAACCATCTCTAAGCAGCTGTGTACAACGCGCTGTGGCTCAAATGGCTCACATGGAATTCGACCGCAACAACCTAATCTCCTTAATTAAAGACCTAAAAGGTAGTTCTTGTGTTTCATCTGTTCCCTCTCCCGGCACTTTGAGCAGGTACACTGTAGTCGTTCCACACACCGCTGCTATAAAAAAAGGGGGGGCGGGGGGATGGAGGGCAAGAAAGACTTGAAACCAGCTATATTCCTATAAAGGACAAACTGCATATCCTTATTCTCCTTTCCCCCCAACCCGCTTTTATAAAACTAGCATGATCTCGTTTTCACCGCAAGACGGGTTCTAGCTCCAGCAAAGCATTAAAAACTGAACCACAGTCCCGCCGCAGGACAACTTCAAAGGACACCTGATGGAATGGGGAAGATCTAACGGGCAATTCACCCGAGTCCCTTTACCACCCTTGCTTTCCTTGGAGTTCTAAAGGAGGCAAACAAACAAACAGAAACAAAAACCAACAAACAACAACTTTTAAACGATTATCTGCAAAGACCTAAATAAAGTTGGCACTAATTTGAGGCTAAGTTACAACGATGACAACAACTTTTTTTTTTTTATAACAACAACTTTAAAAAGATTATCTGCAAAGACGTAAGGCTGGCACTAATTGGAGGCTAAGTTTCGGGGAAAGTTTAAAAAAAAAAAAACAAAACGAACAATCCTACCCTACAAAGGGTATAGTCGTAGTAAGGAGAAGTCACTCGGGTCTGCAGCACTAGAAAGGCAAAAAACTTCATTAAATCCAATGCAAATATGCTCAACACCATCATCAGGTGGCTAAGTCTCCCCATCTGTTTAAGGAGGAGCGCAGGTCCTCTGTCATTTCCGACAAGGAAAGGAGAGGAGGGCAGGGGAGGGGAAGGGAGAGGAGGGGGGAGGGGAAGGGAGAGGAGGGGAGGGGAAGGGAGAGGAGGGGAGGGGAAGGGAGAGGAGGGGAGGGAGGGGAAGGGAGAGGAGGGGAGGGAGTGGAGGGGAGAGAAGAGGAGGGGAGCGGAGAAGAGGGGAGCGGAGAGGAGCATAGAGGAGGGGAGGGAAGAGGAGGGGAGGGGAGGAGGGGAGACGCGGGGAGAGGAGAGGAGGGAGGGGAGACGCGGGGAGAGGAGAGGAGGGAGGGGAGAAGAGAGAAGAGGAGGGGAGCGGAGAGGAGGGGAGGGGAGAGAAGGGGAGGGGAGGGGAGGGAAGCAACGGGAGGAGAGGGGAGCGGAGGGGAGAGGAGGCCAGCGCTCTCCCGCCCGCCGCCTCCGCCTACCGCGGCGCCCGGGGCCCGGCTCTCCGCCCGGCCCCGAGCCCCGCGGCCCCGCAAGGATGGCTGCACGACAGCCCGGCGTCCCCGAGAGCCCCGGGAGCCCCCGTCCGCCGGGCGCGGGGCGGACGACACACACACACTCACCGGAGCGGAGCCCCCGGGGAGGCGCGGAGGTGGGGGGCCGGGGCCCTGCCCGCGCCCGGCGGACCCCAACTCCCTCCGGCGGCTGGGGCGGGCGGCGGCTGGGGCGCGGCGCTGCCGGCTCTGCCGCGAGGGGCCGGGAAGCCCGGGCCCGCGCTGCCCCTGTCCGCAGACCCCGGCTGCGGCCACAGCCGCGGACACAACTACCGCTGCAGGCGTTCGCACGACCGCTCCCGCCGCCGCCCGGCCCCGAGCGCGTCGCGCCCTAATGCTGTCATCCGCCGCGTCGCCGCCGCTCCGGGCGCCTGGGCTGCCGCGAGCCTTCCCGTCCGAGCGCCCGCCCCCCGCTGGCCACGCCCCCCCCCGCATGCCACGCCCCCGTAGGCCACGCCCCCGCTCGCGGGCTCCAGCCCAGCCCCCCTTCCCGTCACGTGCCCGCGCGCGGAGGCGGCGGCGGCGGGGGGGCGCCCCCCTGCGGGCCGGGTGGCGGCGGCGGCGGCGGCGGCGCGGGAGCAGCTGTCGGCGCCGCGGGATTGCCTGCGACCTGCGGGGGGAGGCCTCCCGGACCCGCCTCACAGGGCCCCGCCTAATCCGAGGAGACTGCACCGCGCGGCGCCTGGGCAGGACTCGGGACCCCACGACCGCGCCGGGAGGCCGGGAGGCCCGGAGGCGCGGAGGCCCCAGAGGCCTAGAGGCCTGGAGACCCAGGGGCTTAGAGACCCGCAGGCATGGAGGCCCAGAGACCTAGAGACCCCGAGGCTGGGAGACCCAGAGGCCTAGAGACCCGGAGGCACAGAGGCCGGGAGACCTAGGGGCCGGGAGGCACGGAGGCCAGGAGACCCAGAGGCTTAGAGACCCGGAGGCCGGGAGACCCAGAGACCCCGAGGCCTAGAGACCCGGAGGCACAGAGACCCGGAGTCCGGGAGGCCCGGAGACCCAGGGGCTGGGAGGCACAGAGGCCAGGAAACCCAGAGAGGCCTTAGAGACCTACAGACCTGGAGGCACAGAGACCCAGAGGCCAGGAGACCCGGAGGCTGGGAGACCCAGAGGCCTAGGGACCCGGAGGCACAGAGACTCAGAGGCCTAGAGACTCGGAGGCTCGGAGACACGGAGGCATGCACATGTCACCCGCGTGTCAAAAAGAAGGCATCATGGTGTCTGGCTTAAAAAGCAGTAACTAATTGTTCCAATTTCTAGTAGCACGTTAATTGTGGCATTTAATTTACTGTTTTCCTCATTAGAGGTTTTTAGTTTTGAGGAAGCGATGCTGCGTTTCAATCACGCTGGGATGAAAATAGCCTAGCAAACTTATTTTTGTTCCTAGTCGCCTTCAGCATCCTTCATGCCAGTTCTACAGTCATTAAGTTTTACAACGTGTTAGGTTGGTGGCAGTTTAAACAGATACACAGGATTTTGGCAATCTGTTCCATTTTTAAAATAAAGATTAGTGCTTTTTCCTTTTTCTTTTTTTTTTTCCCCTAAGTACCTTAACTTTTGGACATAGCTTCTGCCTTCCTTTTTAACCATGGTCCAAGGAACTCTCCCCCCCCCCCCAACCACCCCTGGTGATGAGAAGAAAAGTATGTGCTGGTCACCAGAGGAAAAGCAACAATGCAGAAATGAGGGAGGTAGAAAAGCAGAAAGATCATAAACCCTGCCAACAAAGCACATGAGAAAGCTTTCCTGGTTTGTAAGTTATTTTTCCTTCCGGCCCAGGACTTAGGGTTTTTGCTTAAGCAAATCTTATGCACTCATTATGTTTACTTAACATGACATCAAAAAAAAAAGAAAAAAGCTATTCTGATCAGCTGGATACTTTGAAATGAATAAGCAGTAGAGTTTGACCTATATGATCAGTATTATTAATATATTTCATGGACACACTCAGACATCATGGACTTTGAGGCTCATTATTTCATGTTACTCTAGACAGAAAAACACTGCCAATCAAGCTATGCCACCCACTGATTTTTTTTTTTAGGATATATCTTGAATTCAGAGATGTTACAATGTGAAAAACAAGGAGTCTTGGAATCTGAGCGATATGGTAATGAGCAGGTGTTCCAGGGAGGAAAAGATTCGACAGATTCTGAAGTATGAGATACTGTACCCGTAGTTCAGATAAATACGAGACTCTATTCTTCTGTGAGTGACACTAGTTGAGCAAAGCCAGTAACTTTGGAGTTTTTCAACAGATTGAAACCTGTCTCCTACTTTCTAGAACAGTATTTTTTAAGCTGACTCAAAAATCAATTTCATTTTTTAATGAAATAGGCTAGAATGGCATAGAAGATAAAGGTCAGAGGTCACATCTAGTGTGGACAAGAACTTGCTTTGTGAAATTTTTGTTTCCTTTGCGGGGAAGGGTAAGAGTGTGTCCTACATTGTCATTTAAACTGTTTCTTATTGTGAGTTGCAATCAAATATTCAATCAAATAGATTTGAAAAAGAATGTTCTAAAAGCACAAATAACATGCAAAATGTATGCTCTGCACTCTGTTTCTCTGGTGCTTTACCTTTCCTTTGGGAACTAAAACTAAAGATTAGAAAAAGAAGGCAAATTCCTTGACAATCCTTTCCTGCCTCAGCCCAAATTTCTTAATGTGGCTGTTGAGAAAATAAATGGTCTTTCATTGTCCTTGTTCTGGAAGCAAGGTAGTCGAGGTTATAGATTTTGCTAATTAGACGTTTGACTGGATAAATTATTCTTTTCATTACAAGTTCTGAGAAAAGTAGAGAGTTGAACTATATACTGTTTGAACCAATGTTATTCAACTGTTTTTTTTTTTCTTTTTTTTCCCCAGGGGATGATACATTTGAAACAAATAGCCATTGTGTACTCAGGGTTATGCAAATTCTTGTCAGACTAGCTGTAACTTCTATGAACCACCCTCAAAAAAAGAAAAAAAAATCAGAATGCAAGTTCATGAAAGTGAAGATATGGGACAACAAATATGAGTATATCTTTTGTAATCATCGTTTTAACTTTTGCTAATAATAGCTGCTTGCCATGAATGGTGATTTTGACATACTTCACATACCTACCATGATTGCAACTAAAAAAAAAAAAATGTGTCAATACAATAAAATTCAGATATACATATTTTTCAGATCTTTTCAAATCTAATATTCTATGATTCCAGGAAATGATCATTCAATCTAGCATTTGTGATATAATCACAACATAAACAGAAACTGTAATATGTGATCCTGCACTATAATTGAGAAATATCCTGTAACTCCCATCTGCTATGTTAAGATACCCTACAAGTTTGCTATTCTTAAATGATTTTAAGAATAACATCTTAATAAATAAATAAATATAAATAAATAAAAGAATAAAAGAATAACATCTTTGGGGGCACCTGGATGGTTCAGTGGTTGAGAGTCTGCCTTTGGCTCAGGTTGTGATGCCTGTGGGGAGCCTGCTTCTCCCTCTGCCTGTGTCTGCCTCTCTCTGTGTGTCCCTGATGAATAAATAAATAAAATCTTTTTAAAAAAAAGAATAACATTTTTCAACAAAACTTTTTATTATAATTGTCCACTTTTATTATAATTATCCAATTTTAACTCCAATGAGAATCTCTCATGCCTAGTGTTTAACTAATTACACATTTCTGAGAATAAGACGTTCTTTTTCCAAATGAGTTAAAGCACTCACAGGCATGATGATTTTTCCCACAGAATATGTATCAGCACTGACCTAGAATGAGACAGATAAGTTTGATGTTGATTTTTATTTTACCTTTAGCCTAGCCGGTTAGATATTTATGTTGTCAAAGATTGCTGATGAGGATTTTAGGCTAACATCCTTATTTTCTCAGAGAGGATTAAGAACGACCTCAAACATGAATAAGGTATTCAACACATCTTTGAAGACTGTGGTAGATTGTATTATTACTCTCAGCCATATAACTTGATCTAGTCAATGGTTTATAAGCCACATGTTAACTACTTTAAATTTGAGGGCAGCCCAGGTGGCTCAGCAGTTTAGCGCTGCCTTCAGTTCAGGGCCTAATCCTGGAGACCCAGGATCGAATCCCATGTCAGGCTCCTTGCATGGAGCCTGCTTCTCCTTCTGCTTGTGTCTCTGCCTCTCTCTCTGTGTGTCTCTCATGAATAAATAAATAAAATTTTTTAAAAAACCAAAAACATAAAAGTTTAAAAAAAATAAAATAAAATAAATTTGAGTGTAACATTCAAATTTGAGGTCAATCTCTTAGTCGTGTGCTGCCAGCCTGTGAGAAAGACATGTTCCAAATAGGGTATCAGAATGAGAAAATACATGGAGCAGACCTGAAACTGACCTTCACCCTGGAGCAATACAGCAGCAGTTAACCTGCAGCTACTAACATGATATGAGAGTAAACTGTAAATATTTATCATTGTAAATCATAGAGATTTTGAAATTATTATGTAGTATAATCTCACAAATCAGCTGAAATGAATGTAAACCAACAGATTAGTGGTTCAAATGCTAAATGCATTGTAGAACAATAATATTCTTCTACTTAATAAAATAAAATTATAGACATCTATAAAATAATCACCTAGATATTTGGTAAGCACTCCACTAAAAATTTCTATTAAAAAGTAGTCTGGGGGGATCCCTGGGTGGCGCAGTGGTTTAGCGCCTGCCTTTGGCCCAGGGCGCGATCCTGGAGATCCGGGATCGAATCCCACGTCGGGCTCTCGGTGCATGGAGCCTGCTTCTCCCTCTGCCTGTGTCTCTGCCTCTCTCTCTCTCTCTCTCTCTCTCTCTCTCTCTCTCTCTGTGACTATCATAAAAAAATAAAAAATAAAAAAAAAGTAGTCTGGGGATCCCTGGGTGGCGCAGCGGTTTGGCGCCTGCCTTTGGCCTGGGGCGCGATCCTGGAGACCCGGGATCGAATCCCACATCAGGTTCCCGGTGCATGGAGCCTGCTTCTCCCTCTGCCTGTGTCTCTGCCTCTCTCTCTCTCTCTCTCTGTGTGACTATCATAAATAAATAAAAATTTAAAAAAATTAAAAATAATAATAATAAATAAATAAAAAGTAGTCTGTTTATAAAATATATAGATTTAGGAAGCCTGGGTGGCTCAGCGATTGGGCGTCTGCCTTCAGCCCAGGGCCTGATCCTGGAGACCTGGGATCGAGTCCCACATCAGGCTCCCTGCATGGAGCCTGCTTCTCCCTCCGCCTGTGTCTCTGCCTCTCTGTGTGTCTCTCATGAATAAATAAATAAATAAATCTTTAAAAATATATAGAGAGATTTGCTTGCAGAGTATTTACATATAA